GTTGGAACAAGATGATCTTTAAGGTCCCTTCCAACCCAAACCATTCTATTATTCTATGATAATTTTACATGCACTTCCAGGTAGCTGGCACTACTGACAGAGATGGTTTCACCCGATGTTCACTGCTTCTTCCTGCCCCTTTGCTGCCTTGTGCCCTTTTTGGCAAGATCATCTGCATAGCCACATGGGGAACCTGATTCTGATCGAGATCCAGATGAAAATTAACCCAGCAAAACAAACACACCCCACAAAAAACATATTTAGTTTTAATCTGAATCTGTTCCCTGATCTGACTCACCATGTGGGCACACAAATGTTTGCAGCAGCACAGTGGAGGAGGCAGGGCAGAAGCAGAAATAAACAGATTCTTGTAGAAGCAGAGAAATGCCTCTTAGCAGTGGTGTCAGGCCACACCAGCTCGCACTGTGAACCTATGCCATGAAATATTACATCTTCCTGTCTATGGAAATGATATTGACTGATGTCAAAGACAACACTATTTGTTAAATGCTGGAATAAAATGTTTTCTTTTTCCTTTTTTCTTAGGGCTCAGTCAAGTTACATGTGGGAACCACACCAAGGCTCCTTGCGCAAGGAGGCAAAAGCTAGGTGTATGTTTTTCTTGTATATGTCATATTCCTGCCTGGTAACACCCAGGATCCTGGGATAAACTGAACTCCCACTGTGGCCTGTGGCAGCTTACTCTCTTCTGTAGCACGAAAGCCCCCCAAGATGCAATTGGCCTTGAGGAGGTCAGAGAGTCTCTTGCCCTGAGGTTACAAATGCTCCCATGTGCTAGCAGCAACTAACCATCAGCCTTAAAGGAACATGTGAAAATCAGGTATCAGCTGCTGGCAGTGCATTTCCTGTTGTCCTGGCTAAGCAGAGCACATGACAGGATTGCAAAATTTGACAGTATTTCTACAGCAGCTATTAAGCAAAAGATTTTTTTCAGCAGTGTTTTTTTTTTATGTTGGTGTAAATAGTTAAATTGCTGCAAAGTCATTCCTATTGACTAAACAAAGAAAGTTTGTTCCTCTTGGCAGTGGGGTGGTACCTCAGCCCTGAGGGTCAGCCTGCTCATTTCAGCAGTAACTTAGCGAGAGGATGCCCGTGTGTGTAAAGGGGTGCAGTATGGGTCATCATGGTTAGCTTCTGTGGGCCCTGAGGTTCAACATGGCACAAATGCACATGTGCATGTTTACACAGGCTGTACTAAACCAGGGAAACACAGGACACTTGCATCACTGCACTGTCAGTAGCCTCACTTAATGCTGACAACAGATGTTGCAGAACCACTGGAAAAAATGTGTCCCACCCTTGTCTCTCTGCTGCCACTGCACAAGCACTGGAAGCTTTTCTGAAACAAATTTGAACACTGGAACTAGATGATCTTTAAGGTCCCTTCTAACCCAAACCATTCTATGATTCTGTGATTTGAGTGAATTACTCAAATCATAGAGTAATATGGAAGGGGACTCCAGTCACATGCTGAATGATGCAGTTTCTGTGGTACTGGTCTTAATATGCTTATTGTCATAGATACTACAGGCTTATACACCAGTGAGAAATAAATCGACATCTGTGTTACTTCCACCCTGGGTTCCTCAAGCTGTAATGGTGCACACAACTGGGGTATGGGACTTCTTAAAACTGAAGAGCAAGAAAATAATGAGGTGTGATCTGAAGATTCAGGAGTAACAGCAGACTTTTATGCCTTCTAAAATCCACAATCTAGAAGCAGAGCTGGAGAGAGCTCCTGAGGTTATCAAAATAATTTCTGTCATTTTCCAGCCACCTGCAGTGAGCCCTTTGAAACTGTGTGGTCTGAGGACAGAAAACCTTTACAGCTCTGCAGGAGGAGGAAGTCTGCAACAGGAAGATGTGTTCTCTGAACTGAGCACCAAGAGAGAACAGCAAAAGAGGTGGGTGAGGCTGCAGGAGAAATCTTGTCGTGCAATAAAGTGGGCATTCATTTTCTGCTATAACAATAAAATAAACTCCTTGGCCACCTGGTGGCGGTTTCAAGGGATAGTCTTGGCCTCCTGCCTTCCTGTCCCTGCGGTGGCAACCCTTCTGTCAGTCCTCCCCACTGGAGCATCTGCAGGATGGGCAAGGGAGAAGAAACCTCTGACTTCTCTCTAGAGCAGGCTTAAGACCTGCATAGTCAGGGTGGGCTCACTTGCTTAGTGAGAGCAAGGAAATGACTTTTCACAACTAATAAAGCATTGTTGGCCCTGACAGTGCCTGCCTTCCAACAGTAAAAGAAGTGAAAGTGGATGAGGTTTTCTCCAAACATCGCATTGGCCTAACCAAATGAAAAGTTGAAAGGAAAATAATACCCGGCTGAGATTCTCCCATCTCATAGACAAGTAATGGTTGTTTTGGAAGGAAAAACAGCTTTATTTCTCTGAGCTTGCTTCACTATGTTGTATTTTAAATCTGCCCCATTTCACTTGCTTAGCTTTAGGACACTTTCAGATCGTCAGATGCAAGAAGCTTAGATGGCTGATCATTTTAGAATGATTTTCCATATCTCTGGGAAAGTAGGAAATCACAGTGGGTGACTAAATCCACTGCCCGGGTGTTTGCCTGTGTGGCTATGCCAAGCTGCACATTGCTGGCTGCATATTCACAACTAAAAGGCTAACTAAGTGTGTGATATTTGATACTGTCCAGGCGCCTACAAAGAGGACAGCAAGAAAAAGTTACCCAACCACTGAAGATAACTCTTAGTGATGAGGAAGAGGGTGAAGACTGCAGCCTGGCTGACAGCTGTGAAGGTGCATTGAGTGAGACCTCTGATAAGGACCTCATTGGAAGGATTTCACTTGATTCTTCTTGCCACTCCTGCCTCTCCCAGTCTTCCGCAGGTACTGGACCTAAACATCTGGGAAAGGATTAGCACCAGGTAGTGATACATGGCACTAACCATTTGTAGATAGGTGTGTAAGTAACTGCAGTGTTTTAAGAGATCTGGCTTCTGTGCGCTAGAGCAGCAATTTGGAAATATAATTGGAGAGCCAGACCCTAAGTAAACCATTCTAGTTTTTAAGCAGGATATGGTGGCCAGCTGTGTTGACTATCAGTTGATTCATCAGCATGGATCTGTAGAATCAAGAGGAACAAAGCTGATCTTAAACCTGCTTAGCATTGAGTCTAGAGGAAGGACATGCCTCTGTCTTCTACCTTGTATCATTAACTTATGTCAGTGACAAGTAAGCCTAAAACACTGGTGTTCCAACTGAGCTATATTTTAACCCAGTTGGCACTGGTGGAAATATTGTCTAGGCTTATGGTTAAGGTTTAACTGGTCAACTGGGAATTCTGGAAAGATATGCAACCAAAGAGATGCATTCAATAAACAGTATAAAAATGAAATCTGTTCCTCTACGCATCAAGAACAAAGCCAAAGGCCTCTCCAGAGTTGCATTTACATGAATGAAAGCAGAATTCCTGCTCTTCACCACTTACTGAATATTGTATTTAAGAATATTAGAAAAATTAATAATGGTTATTCCAAATACATATCGAGTAGAGGGCCTTACAAAAGTACAACTTTAATCTATTACTATGGTTAATGATAACTTTTGGGGGGGTCTCAATAAATACTGGCATGTGAGTTTTTGCTTTATGTTTCTTTCAAGGGAAAAATTGATCTATTAAAATTAAAACAAAAATATTTTGGAAAAATCAGAAGTATAATTAAACTGTTCAAAGCCTCTGTGTACTAACAGTAATATAAGCAATAGCTCTTTAATAAGAACAGAAACTGTTTGGAAAAATCTAAAGAAATGGCCAATTGTCCAGTAACCACAAAGGTCTTACATTATGATCTTGTGGTGTCTTTAGGTTTAATCTGATCTTTTTTAGATTTAATATGATTTCCATAAATTGAGTATGATTTATTATGATCTCATCATCTTTGTAGATTGAGTAGACAATGTCCCAGATATCTCACAGTGCACCAGTGTCATGCCTTATAGGACTATGAAAGTGAATGGTTGGGCATAAATCTGCCCCACTTTTAACCAAATCTGCCAGCATTTGGTTACAAGATTGATGGAGTGGTTTGAAATCTAGTGTTACATAGGGGATGGGGGTGTGTGCAGATGACCCAGATCCCAAATTACAAGCAGCTGGCCATAATAAGCAAGATTCAAATAATCACGAGCACAGTAGCGTTTGCCCACTGTCACTAATAAACATGTATGTTTCGCAGAGCAAATACCTGATAAAACTTTAGCAACTGATAGATTTTATTCAGCAAGGCAATTAAAAATATACTTGACCTCTGTGACTTGAGACTGTGTCAAGATTTGGAGAGGTATTTAAATGCCTCAACACTTAGCTTCAGAAGTGTGTTCTACCCAATGTGATTTTCTCACAGAAGAACTTGTTGCTGAAAACGGTCCTTCTGACCAGGAAAGGACAAGTCATTTGAGCTAACCCATTCTATTTAAAAGTAGTTGCAGCAACAGATCCATATAATCTGCAGTCTTTGGAAGTTGTTGAGTGTTATTTCGGGCTCTTGAGTCAGGCATACCAGTCTTTCAGAGTGTATTTACTTAAAAGCAAATAGAAACCCCTATGAAATTTACACATTTTTAAAGTATATAGTATTATGGAAATTGTTCAGTGAAAATTTTGTATCAGCTTTAAGTGGTTACCTAAGCAGTAGAATACATCCCCATCAATTAGGAGTTACGAAGCTGAACTTTCTGGGCCTGGGGTTTGGTGGCACATTCTTTAGATTGTGTTCCCACCCTGGACCCTGCACATCAGGCACTTAGGTACAGTCAGTTCTCTTAATAGACAAGAGCAATTGGACCCCTGCTATATATAGCATGGTTTTAAGCATGCATACATGCATATTATATTCATAAGTCAGCAACAAGACTTTTCTTCTCTATATGTTGCACCTGAGATTACATGGGCTAAAATATGAACGGCCAGACAGTAGCCCTGCATGAAGGACAATATTTTCCCCAGCAGTCAGGCACTTTCCATGATTTTAAGGCTAATCTCAAGATCTTATTCTTACACCTCTGCCTCTGATTAAAAAAAAAGTGAATCCACACATCTGCAATTATTCCTGTGCCTTGAATTTCAGATCATTGCATGAGGTCCTCAGGTATTTAAAACAACTCAGCGCAAATGCTGGCCAGGAATGATGCACATATGATCCTGCCTGAGAATAGGAGGATGGGTGAGCTGGTGTGTTCCACTTGAGCTGTGTGTGGCTCATGAGCAGTTCCAGTGCTTGGCATGTCACCAGCAGTACTGGCAGGGAGGCTGCCAAATAACCCAAACCTCTGGCTATCAGAGGAAGCAATTCAACAAGGCTAGGGATACATCTGCCCACCCATCTCCATCACACAGCATTCTCTGATACCTTTTGCTCACCAGGTCAGTCATTTAGGAATAAGATGAACTGGTAAATCGCTGTGCTTCCCTCCCTGTTTCAGGTTCGTCACAGGCTCAGGAAGGTGCAATGTTCTCCAACCCAAACCACTGCCTAATTCCATCCCCTCCAAAAACCCCTTCACCTGCATCTGTAACAGGTGTCGCAGCAAGACCCTGGAAAAAAAGGAACCACAGGATAAGATGCCTAAAAATACCCAGCCAAGAGGACAGGCAGTGGATACAGCAATGCCAGCCAAGGGCTCGTCAAGAAACTTCAGCCCAGCTTCTGGGCAAGAAATTTGCTCTTCTGAGCCAGCACAGCACGCCGGCTGCCTCTGGATCTCGAGGGCAGCACCAGCCTGCTGGGAGCGCTGGCCAGCAAAGGCCTATTACAGTACCAACAGTTGTTGGATCAACAAGCATCAGGTATGCACACTGCCAGCAGCAGTGCCTGCAGTGTGTCTGGGGAAAACAGAAGGGACTTCACAGCAGGAAAAAGCAAACTTCTGTGTTGTCTCTGGAGTCTCCTGTCTGTTCTGTAAAAAGCCCTCTTTTTATTTGTGCTGACATTTACCTTTGTGCATCTAGTGCTAAACTAAACATTTTCTCATGTTCCTTATAGCTTAAACATTGGAAATTTTGTATTTTCTTAAATAATAGTCCAGAATTTTCTTGTGTTCTTACTGCTCCATTCTCATGGGCTGATGCCCATGTCTGTTGCAGAGCTCTTATAGTGGCACTTGTTCAAGACTCTCCTTGGCTAAACCCCAGGACAAGTTCCTGACATCACACTTCTTTTTTTTTTTCCTTTCTTAAAACTTACATTCATTCATGTTAGAATGAGCTTTGTAAAATAAACTGGGCATTGGAGAAGCATTACATTCACCAAAACGTAGTTATTTATGAACCTGCTTACTGTAAGATTAGCATCTGGTTGCTTCTTTGAAGAAATAAAACTGAGGAGTTGTGAATGACACTTTGATTTTAACATAGACATTACAGAGCAGTATAGGCAGAGAGTACATGCCTTGTGTGGGAAGCTGGTGTGTCTTCTGCTATCCCAAGCCTGGCAGCTTTCAGTTGAGTTTTCAGAGCGAGAGACAGCAGAGCTGGTGGGGAGGATGCAGATATACAGACCCTGAGTGCAATTTCACCATAGTGTTTCTCTCTTTTCTCCCAGGCCCATTGTGGATGAGAGCCCTCCTGGAGAGATCAACCACCACCAGCCAGCTGCCTGCTCATCCACAAAAGCCTCACAGAGGTCTGGACTGATGAACACTGCTTGGCCCCTGACTGCCAGGGCCATGCTGCAGCCATTGCCACACAGACCCACTTCCTCAACGTCTCAGAAGAGAAGTCCCCAGTCCTAGAAGATACCTAGGTGGCAGCATGTGAGGATCCACGTACACAGCACAGTCTTGAAAGATTGATGCTATCTTCTTTCAGCTTCTTCTGCAAGCTAAATGCAGAGCTGTGCAAGTAGAGCAGTTCAAACAAACGACATGATTTGCCTCAATTAAGGCTACAGCTGGTCCAGAACTGCTTTCTTTAAAGAGCACCCGCTGATCAACAGAAGAGCTAATCAACCTCTTATTATAGACAACCATGGTTATTTTTGCAGCCTTCATGCACTAAAGCAGAACAAGTCCTAGTGTATTTCCTCTCATCCACACTATGCTCTGCTCTGTGAGTCAGGCAGGGACACTGAACCAAGCAGAGCATGGAGCTTTCAGTTTGTGGTGTAGCGTGGGCTGGAGGAGATGAGGGACACAGAGCATTCCCTCTCGCTCCTATCCCTTTGATCTAGCAGCATCCCACAATGTATCTTATGCATCCCTGGATGTTTAACATATAATGTACGAAGTCAAAGGCTTGAGAGGAAGCGATGTCTGGAGCAGGTTGTAAGGGGAGGGTGCGTGGCCTGAGGAAGAGCCCGGGAAGGCTGGGTGTTTTCAGAGGTTATGCCCCCACAGGAGCTCACCCATTCACAGGAATCTGAGGATCTTGTTGCCTACATTGCTATGGGAGATAATGCTGACCAGGTGGCTTTCAATATTAATATGTTTGTTTGCTCCATAGCTACCTGGAAGGATTTATCTTGCTTCCTATGGATAGATGCATACCGGAATGTCATTAGCATGTAAGCAAGTGTCAAGAGCATCCTCTGCATGTGCCTTTTGAGTCAGGCATCCCATCTCTAGCTTTCTAGACCAAATAGACTTTCTAATTTCATGTGACTGAATAATTTTAAGTAATGCTGCAGCAAAGACAAGGCAGGGAAGAAAGGGAATAATCCTTTCTCTTTTTTTCAATAGGGCATTTGTTTTATGTTTGGGTGAGATTCAAAACATTGGTTTTAGTGACTGCAGACTGAGATGCTGATCCAAATGACTGTGCCTTAAAACTTCATTGATGTTGCAGTCTCAAACCATGCATCATCACATTTTTTTCCAGTTTAAATTACTATGTTAGATATATATTTTTAAATCAGTTGATAAACAGTAATTACATGATAGGTTAATGAATTGGTTTATGTCTTCTTTCTGCTGGTGAGCTTATCATAGAGGAGCAGAACAAGAGAAAACCCCAAAACTTTGTCTCATCATGCTTATACTTGTACCACTTTTTCCTTCAAAAGACCCTGGAGCTTTAAGCTAATTTGTCCAGTTTTGTCAGGTCCTGGAGGAAATCATCCATCAAAAATCATTAAAACCTATGAGGTGTGTGATTCTGTGCAATACTATGGGTGCAGGCAGGATTTACCATCAGATGTCACCCAACACCAGTGTCTGTGTTCTTAAACAGGTTCCTAAAATTCACTTTTTGCCAGTGTCTCTGACTGTAACCACCACCAAAACACAAAAATCTGACCTTGTGAAAGAAAGAGGGAAATGGCAGCATAGTTACCAGAAATGCTCTGTGCTCTCCCCGCCTGCTTGAGGTCTGCAAGCCTCACTGGCCATCAGCACTGGTGACAATCAGGCCCTTCTCTATAGCCAGAGTCAAATCAGTGGGTGAGGGGTAGGGCTGTCTTCTCCAAATATTCAGAGCTGGCTTCTCAATTTGCATCTTTCGTTTCAAAAGGGTGGAGAGGAAAAAAGAAGGCATAAGTGATTTTTTTGTGAGAGGAAACGGGCAGCTACTTGGGTCTGCATGTGTGCATCTGCAGATGCAAAACCCTGGGTACAGATCTGGAAAGTACTCTCAAAAGCTCCTGTGAGCTTGTCTCATGGCAAACACAACTTGGCTCTGTATGTGCGTGGGGCAAGATGCTTCTTTGTGGTGGTGGAGAGGGCTTGGAGAAAGGGTCAGGAGAAAAGCTCTGCCCTCATGTGTGGGAAGGGTGACTGAGGGCTTCATCAAAACCATTTGATACAGGGTTTCCTCTCTCAGATGGAACTTGCAGTCAGGATGCCCAACGCTTCTTGGGGAGGCATGCTCGGTCTTGAGCTGTGTTGCTGCCCTGAGATATCTGGGCTACCATGCTCAGCAAAGTGACAATGCTTAGATCTTGGGCATTGCTCTCCCCAAATGGATCTCCAGCTGTGTTACCAGAGCAGAGACTGGTTTGGGTCATACAAAGAGGAAGGTGAAGCAACTTGGCAACAGAGCAGTGGCACCAGTAGGAATCTGACTTCCCTCGATAGGGCACACATCTTGTTAATAGCTTTGGCGACTGGGAATAGGGGAAGACTAATTAGTTCTCAGCACATGAAAGCTTAGCAGGTAGCAGGGCCAAGCATTGGTGGACAGCTCTGCCCGAGGCTTAAGTTTTTGGGTACCATATTTGTTGTGTCCTTTCTGGGTGATCTGACCTGCTGAGTAGTATGTGCCAGAGCATGTGCTCTAAAGCTAAACGCATAACATGACTCTGCGCCAGGCTGTCATGCTTGGAGCAGCAGGGAGGCTTGTTAAGAGAGCAAGCTTGTCATCACAGCCAGACCTGATGCCTGGAAGAAGGGCTGGTTGTCTCCTCTGCCTGTAGTGGGTGCACCTCAAGGCTGCTACGCTGTTGTTTGTTGCAGTTTCCAGGACAAGCAAAATAAATAAGGCTGTTGCAGATCAGATCTGCACAGGTGTGACAGATCCACAGAGGAAATCGTTGTTCTGGTTTTAGCCTCTGCTCTTCCACCTTATACCTTTTTCATCTAGAAAATGTAAAAGCCAGCCAGGGCTTTATGGGCTAATTAGGAAATACCAGGCATGGTGGGCTACCCAGGAATTCTGTTCTCTTGGCCCAAAACCGAAATATATGGGGAGTTTCATCATGAGTTTTCGTGTCACTGTTTCCTCTGCTAAAATCCTGTGTTGGTCTATTGTATATGGACAAATTCCTTTAATGAATTAGCTTATTCCTATCCCTGCCTTTGTATACTCAATATTTATCTCAGTAGGATCCTTGCTTTCGGTTGGATGCAACTAGTTTCATATGTACATTACCAGGGTCCATCCCCTCATTCTTGTAAGGAGCTGCTGATGGCTTTAAGTATCTCACTGCCTTGATGGGATTTGCTGCCAACTGCCAAATTGATATCTAGTGTGTAAGTAGGAGAGAGGGGTGAGAACTACTCCCCATCCCAGCTATTAATAAATCAGCACCACAGGGAAGTGCTTTCTGCCAGCACATGCTGCTAAGGAAGGGGTGGTTAGCTGGGGCAGCTGCCCTGCAGGGAGCGGGGCTAGCAGCAAAGGGATGTGGTCCAAAGTGACACTGCTGCGGCGTTAGCAGAAGCACAGTCCATCCAGGAGGCCTCTCAGCCTCGCAGCTGGCGTCCTGCGAGCCCCTCTGCTGGAGTGCCTGGTGATGCCCTGCATACTGAAAGGCTCTGCTCAGCCAGAGCTTTAGAAAATAATTAGAGAAAGAAGCGTGGAGCTGCACGCCAGCCAGCCAGTTCCTGCGGTGTCTAAAACCCCTTCCTTCTCCTGAAGGGAGCACGGCTGGGACGGCATCCCACTCAAACAGGCTCCGACCTGTCCCCCAAACAAAGCATCCACCACTGACACTTCCTCTCCCCATCGCCATCAGGAACCCTGCTGTGCCTGTGCATCCCCTGCTAGAGCTCAGCCTGATTATGCTAAAATTAACGGAGTAATTGAGATGATTTTTTTAAGCGTGTCAGGGGCTGATGGCCTTGCAACAGGATCCTCCCGCATGGCACAGTGTAAACCAGAAAATGAAATGTTGGACTCCTGGGTGGAGAGTTGCAGCATCATTTATAAATGTAAGACCTGTGCCTGAGGAAGAGTGAGTGCCCGTGCTTTCAGGCAAGCCGCCGCTTTGCTTCAGTTTGAAGAGCAAGAAGAACGTCTTGAAATGGACGCTAGAGGGAAGAAGAGAGTCTCACAAGTGTAACTTTTAAAAGACTCGGAAACCAGCCACGAACAGCTCCAGGGCATTTGGGGAGGTGTCCGGCACTCACTGGGCTCAGCATTTTCTTTCTTGCCTTCTCCAGCATCCAGCGTGCTGGCCTTGAATGACGCTCCTGAACGCACTACGCTGTATCACATATGACTTTGATTTATTTGGAAATACTTCCTCAGCAAACCTGCAGTGCCCACAAAATGTAATGGGCCCTGTCTCAGCATGGAAAAGCTGTGGTGCTATAGGGCACCCGTGATGCTACAGGGCATCTGATGATGCTATGTGCAACCCCAGCATGTCTTAAATAGATGATTTTTGTCACAGGCCATAGCTGCAAACAGGCTCTAGACTGCATGGCTTGAGCTCAAGCTGTATCCCCATCCTGCCTCTTGCCATGCCCAGCTGAAATGAGGTGGTTTGGGGAGGGGAAGGGGGTTATCCACACAAGATCTGGGTGCTCCTACAGTTGCAGCAGGATCAAGTGTCTGTTGAATGCCCAGCTCAGCAGCCAGCCTGGCCTTCTCAGCTCTCAGGCTCTGCTGGACAATGCTCCCGGAGCACTACACCGTGTGTCAGGCTGTGCTGCGCTGTGTCCCCTCCACAGGGCGATGCATCTGTGTGTCCAGGCTCTGGAGCATGGGGCACATGGGATGTCTGCATGGGAATGCTGCCAGGCCTGAGCAGGAGGGGCTGTGCTGCCAACACAAATGGGCAGGGATGGAGAGGGGCTGTCGTGTCATGCTGGCATTTGGGATGGCGGCCAAAAGTGCTAGCGGGGGACTTTGTGTGTGCCCATGTGTGTAGCTGTGTGTGTGCATGTGTCTGCTCCCTTCCCTGAGCCAAGAGCAGAGGGCATGGGAGGTCGAACCAGGACAGCAGGGTGGGTTCAGGCTGCAGGAGAGCTTACCCAGCAAGACCCTGATCATTCTGAGTCAGCCATTGCCAATCTGGGGCCAATGTGGAAATAGCAAAGAGCTGCAAAAGCACTCCTCCTCCATTTGCAGGTCT